TCTAATTAAGAGCAGAGAGTTATCGTGAGTATTATTAACATTGTATTCTAGAGATAACAGATCACAAGGCAAAGGGAAGGAAGCTGAGGGAATTATTAACCTTCACACCCGAATCTCAGATAACCAAGGCCAACTCCACCTCTTAAAAGAAACTCTTCAAAGGAAAGGTGAAAGTAGTCTTCATTGATCACTACCTATACATGAAGTCTGTGACACACACATGGACATATGTTTACATAAGTACAGCAGAAGATCACAATATAACAAAACAATGCTTCAGAATAACTGGAAAAAAAATACATTGCAATGCAGTTAAAGTTTCCTGTCCCTTTAAAATCATGCAGGGAACAAGGATATTTCAAATGAATCTCCAAATCCAACCTGAATAGAAGTCTATACTTCAAAAATTGATTTGGAACCAAGGAAAAACATCTAGTATTTAAAATATTGCTATAGTTTGGATGTTGCAAGTCCCCAAAAGGCCCATGAGCTTAAAGTCTCGGTCCCCAGGGTGGCCCTATTGGGAGGTAGTTGAACATTTGAGAGGCAGGGCCTTATTGAAGGTGTTAGGTCATGGGGGTGGGGGTGCCTTATGCAGGGATCCTGGAACTCAGGTCTCATTCTTTCTCTGCTTCCTGGCTCATGATGAAACTAGTTTGCTCTATCATGTGCTTCATGCCAACACCATCAGTTCCCTCACCAGAGACCCACAGCAATGGCATCTTGATCTTGGACTGGAACCTCCAGAACTGTAAACTGAATAAAGTTTTTTTTTTTTTTCTCTGTATCTTAATTATCCCAGTATTTCATTACAGTGACAGAAAGCTGACTGACACACATATCTACTGAGGCATATAGAAACTAATACTTGTTTTTTCCTCTTTCTGCTTTCCTCAATCTGGCTCAGTGCCTAGGCAGAAGCATTTCCAGGACCCAGGGCCCAAAGCCTCTAGAATAGAGCTTGCTTGTCTTTTCCTAGGATCAAACACCACACAGGGAGAAGCAAGAGTAGGACAAGATATTCCCTTCTTTATATATTCTTACATACCCTCATCCTTTCAGTTTACTGAGAAAAATTCAGAAAAGTGCAAAAGTCATTACCACTGATTAATTATCTATTTGCAAAGCAACTCTCATGCTTATTCTGCTGGATTAAAGCAGAGTAGCTGTAGAGTGGGTGACCACTCTTAATCCCCACGCCAGGATGCAACAGTCCAACCTATTTCTTCAAGCTTTATGAAAAGTGTGCTAATGCTTAATCTGAAAAAAGAAAGAAAACGAGAAATTCTCTAACTGTAGTTTTTCTCTAGAAGATGTGTCACAGTGCTCTTTGATAATAGCCGTCAAATTCCTTTGGAGGAAAGATTTGGAGGTAGGAGGGTACTGAAGTTAGGTAGGGAAAGAAGAATGTGGAAGAGGCTTCACATTCAGCTTTAAAAACTTTCAAGAATAAGAAATGAGTTTGGTGATTACTTATATTTTAATGTCTCTCAGGATTCCAGCAAAAGATCTGGAATAAGAATTAAATATTGGTTACAGAAAAAGGCCCCAACTAGTGGGATACAAAAAAATATTCCTAGTAGTCCTATACGAGGAAATAAGTACCAGGACACTTCCATTTCAACCATGCAAAGGTACATCATAAAAACACATGGGATGCTGTTTGACCAGCTGAGTGCAGGTTTCAAAGACTAAAACCTTTGTTCCAAAGGTGGACCTTTGTGGATACCCATTGTGGATTCTCAATGGGTAGAGAGTAGGTAAATGAGCAGGGAAGATATAAAGATTTAGCAATTGGGAAAACTTTCAAGACTTACAGGCATGTAGAGATGGTTTTACATTTGACTTGCATAAAATTCGATGTATAATTATTGACTGCCTCATAGTATGCTAAAACCACCTGAAGGTAGTAATACTAAATAATTTAAATGATCATGTTGTAAAAGCTAAAGGTCTTCATTAAAAATAAAAACAAAACAAAATCCACTAGACTCAAATTAAACAAGTTCTCTTCAATACCATAACAACGACATCTGATACAAAAATATACCTTGAGATGCAAACATCATGTGGTTTGGGACACTTATTCTTTGAACCTTAGGCTTATTTTTAAGTACTAAGGATATGACAACATCTCTTAAGTCTAGGAATTTTGGCTCAAAGTACTGTAATGTCACCATGATACCTAAAATATCATTGGAAATGACTACAAAAAGGAGACTTCGAACACCAGAAAAGACGTCTTACAACAAATTATGTTCAATCATCATGTGTGACAATACATTTTAGTACTCTCTACACAGAAGCCAGTGGTTTCCACTTAATAAAATAAAAACGATTATATCTTCTTTTGGTTTTGATCTTATTTATCATACACATTGCTCTATTTGATCCTCACAAAAATCTATGTGATGTCCAAGCGATTCCACGACCTCATTTTAACACAGAAAAAAAAAAAAAAAAGTGAGTTAGGGAAGAATTATGGAAGGCCCCAGGAACTAACAATGGCCATGAAACCCAGGCCTTCTGACCCAAGATTAGCTCTGGCCACCAAAGATTTAGAATGAAAAAACAACCACACACTTCAAGAAAATTAACTGTGGATCTTGCAACTGTCATGACAAAATAGCGAAGGGACCTAGGTAGTTAGTTACACATTAGCAACCCAGATCGCGTAGCCTGTGGTTAGAGTGGGCAAAGAATCACAGTTATTTAATGTTAACACTGATGGCATTTCTGAGCAGCTGCAAGAAATACCAAAACAGCCGAACGAAAAGTGTTTTCTAAAGTTCCTGATAAAACTCAGGAAAGAGCTCTGTTAAATCTTTTCAACTGGAATCAGTTACTCTAAATCATCACTACAGTACTGCATCCCGAGCCAGAGCCACCAAAAGAGGTTTAACACTGCTGCACCTTCCTAAGACCGACAACTTTCAGGTTGTTCATTTTTCCTCCTCGAAAAAACCCTGTGCTCTTCTTGGGAAGAAAGTGATATCGCTAAAGAGGACCGGTTTTAACACTCTAGATTCATACTGAGGCCCTCCCGAGCATCCGGAGTGAAACACATCGCTGGCGCCAAAAGAAGGGAAAGCGGTGCTGAGACTTGGCACAGCTGCAAAGGTGGGTGTGCAGGCGAAGCGCAGCGCCCCAGAGGCTGCC